CCCTTGGACTACCGGAGGGAGATACACTTACGGCGGGCCTATGATGCAACCACCGCCTCCTTACGTCGAACACCAGAAAGCCGTCACGATTCGTAACGACGTTAATCTAAAAAAGGAGTCTTTGAAGCTTGAACCCGACCAGGACAATCCGGGTCGGTTTCTCGTCTCCTTCACGTTTGATGCAACTGTTTCCGGAAGGTAGATTTCAGTTTCTCCCTTTCGTGATTGATTTGATTAAAAAAAAAAACAGAGCCGAAACACGTGAAACTACCAATTAGGCTCTTACCTCGTGATAATAGCTGAAACTTGTGGTCTTCTTGCTAAATTTGACTTCAAAGTTCGGATTTTTATTAATGTAAAGCAGATTGTGCCATTGAAAAAATTCAACCTTTGATCATTTGTATGTTTTGTTGGACTTGTGGAGAACAGGATTACTGTCATTTTCTTTGCTAAAGAATCCGAAGAATGCAATCTCACAGCGACAAAGGAAGATATTCTTCCACCAATCACTATGGATTTTAAGAAAGGACTTGGTCAGAAGTTTAAACAAGCCTCTGGTTCGGGTGTAGACTTTTCGGTCTTTGAAGACGTTGAGCTGTTCAAGGCTGCAGACACTGAAATCTATCCGTTGGCGGTTAAGGCAGAAGCAGCTCCATCGGGTGATACTGAAGAAGCAGAGAGTTTGGAATCGAAGAACGCGCAGATTACTCAAGCGGTTTTTGAGAAGGATAAAGGAGAGATTAAGATAAGAGTGGTGAAGCAGATACTATGGGTTAATGGACTGAGATATGAGTTGCAAGAGATTTATGGGATCGGGAATACGGTTGAAGGCGATGATGATTCGTCTGACGATGCTAATGACCCGGGAAAAGAATGCGTTATATGTTTGTCTGAACCACGAGACACGACTGTTCTTCCCTGTAGACACATGGTAAGTTCATTGGTTTTTTAGTGCTGATGATTCCTCTTGTGTAATGGACTTTACCAATGTGAAAAATGTTTGCTTTTGCGGTGCAGTGTATGTGCAGCGGATGCGCTAAGGTATTAAGGTTTCAGACAAATCGATGTCCGATTTGCAGGCAACCCGTCGAAAGGCTTTTGGAGATAAAAGTACACGGTAACAGCGGTACTGGGCACAATAATGGACAAGCCGGAACAGCTGAACAAGAATAACAATCACGGCCGAGGATGGATAGAACTGACCAACTGCCATCGATGTATTAGTATATGTACGTTTGATCCATATGTAATAACAATATAATGTGTGATTGCCACTTAATTATATAGAAATTTCAAAGTCATTTGATTCACAATCACAATCCTTCAATATACTTTCATTAGACACAACAATAAACATGCAGTTTCTTATTTAGCTAGTTGTTCAGCCAGAAGCTGTAGCGGCAGAGGAACAACAGGAGCACACAGACATTTGGAGCCATTACAATGGCGACATTGACAGATACTAAAACAATGAAAACACAAGATCAACATTACGATGATGGTAGATAAAGACTGACACTACCAAATTCCAAAACGCGGAGTTTTAATCTCCTCCCCACCATTGGTGGACAAAGACACCTCTGCTTCTTAGACTTTGGAGTATGTCCATGCAGTCTGGCTTGTTGGTGCAGCGGAGGAAAAGCTCGTCCACGTAACATATGGCTTCTGTTTCGATTAAACCCGAGAGGAACTTCATTTCTACACCGCTTGTGTTCATCTTCAGAACCACAAATTCTGCGTACTTTGCAGTTTCCTCAAACCAAGCAAGAAAATAGAAGCTCTCTTCCTCTTCTTCAGGAAATGGTTCTAGATATTCACTTAGAGTGATGTTTTTGGCTGTAGCATTGTTGTCCCCAGCCAAACCTGGATGGTAAACAAAGGTGACACCAGGTTTCTTTACCTCCATTAGCAATACCGAAGCATTGTGGTCGACAATGTAGATGTTGAACGCCTTGCTGTCAATTGGGTATGACGGCAAAAACCAGCTAGATGATGATGATGATATATTATCATTCGGATATTCGGTTGCTCCAATGTCAACGTAAACCAGTCTCTTCTTAGGTGACACATCGAGAAACTTGGGCAAATAAGCCACTGATTTTGGAAATTCAACTGGTTTTGTTTCGAGTAGCGGTTCCATGAATCCTATGTAAGGTTTTGCGTTCACAACAGATTGACAATCACTTGGTAGCTGGTTTTTTCCAGCGTAATCAGAAGCATTCTCCATCACATTCTTCTTGAATACAACAACTGTGAACCCATCCATGGATTTTACATGAACTATCTCAGAAAGCTTAAGCAAGGATGAAACTGAAGTAGCAGATTTAACAAGGCTGTTCGAGTTATACAACCCGCCGTTAGTTTTCACTAAGACCGCCCCGATTCCACCGGGTTTCAGAACACGCTCCATCTCAAGCACGAGAAGAGCAGGGACTATTATAACCCGCTGATCGATATCCCCGTAATAAACAAAATCGAACGAGTTTTCAGGAAACGCAAGCTCGTAGACGTGCTTCCTACCCATAAGGGCAAACAAAGGGTGACCAAGAACCCTGTGAGCATCTGTAAAACCCTTCTCTTTAAACACCGAAATAGCCAAATCAGATCCCTGACCAATGCACAGAACCTTAGAATTATGATCCAACAGATTTAAGCCCATCAGCTCTGCAGCAATACCGGAAATGACCAGTTCCGGGCACTTTTCCGACTTGTAATTTCCCCAAAATGGTTCAACGAGCTTATCAAATAGAAATTGGCAGAGATCGGAAAGAGCCATTACATGATTATTCGGGTTATCAATGTAAGTTTGTCTTATAAAAACGGATTAATATATTTGGTTAAATATTCTTACTTTTTTCTTTTGTCAATCCTTCTTACTTTTTTCTAATGTAGATTTCGAATAAACATCTGTATACGAAATTTTTGTTATTATTTAAACAGTTATGCATATATATATCATCTCTCATTGCATAACAAAACTATAATTTTGTTTGTTTGTTAATGATATAGACATATACTGTTGATATAATGTAGATTAACAAATTTGCTTGTAATAAAGTAATACATGATCGGATCACATATGAAAACGACCACGTGCTAAAAAAAGATACCCAAAGAGGGAAATGGTGTCCCATGAGCCATGAGCATAAGTTGATTGTATGATGTGATAGATTATGAAATGAAGATGTTTAAAAAAAAAAATTTACCTAAAATAACCTATTTTTTTTAAATAGTTAGAATAACTTTACCATTATTGCTGAAATAACCTATTCTAGATTTTTTTCCTTTTATAATACCAAAATTGTTCTTAGCAGACTCTGCCGAAACATTGGCAGACTCTGCCGAACATTGGTATACTTTGCCAATGTTCGGCAGAGTCTGCCAATATTTTGTTAGAGTGCGTATTTCTAGATATTGACAGAGTCTGCCAATACATCGGTAGAGTCTATCAATATTTTCGCAGAGTCTGCCAATACATCAGTAGAGTCTGCCAATATTTCCGCAGAGTCTGCCAATGATTCGGTAGAGTCTGCCAATATTTCGGCAGAGTCTGCCAATACTTCGACGGAGTCTGCCAATGTTTCGGTAGAGTCTACCAATGTTTCGGAAGAGTTTGCGTATTTTTAGATATTGGCAGAGTCTGCCAATACATCGGTAGAGTCTGCCAATGTTTTGGCAGAGTTTGTCAATACCTCAGCAGAGTCTGCGAAGACAATTTTGGTATT